CCTTCTTCTATACCTATTATTCTTAGGTTTAGCCTTTTCATGGTATCCCATATTTCCTGGATATTTTGTGTTTGGGTTTTGTTGGACTTGAGATTTTTTTTTTTTTTTGGTTGATGACTCTATATCCTCTAGAGAGTCTTCAACAACTGAGAATCTCTCTTCCATCTCTTGAATTCTATTGTTTATACTCACATCTTTAGTTCCTGATCATTTTTCCAGCCTTTCTATTTCCAGCATGGCCTCATTCTGTGTTTCCTTTATTGTTTCTATTTCAGCTTTCATGCGTTGCACTGTTTCGAATGCTTTCTTCACTTGTTTGGTGGTTGTTTCTTGGCTTTCTTTAGATTATTTAAGGGATTTGTTTATTTCTTGAATTATTTGGTTTGTCTTTTCCTCTACTTCATGTAATTTTTGCTTGTTTTTTCTTCTATTTCCTTAAGGGATTTTCTTGTTTCCTCTTTAAAGATCTCTATCATCTTCCTAAGATAATTTTTTAGGTCCATGTCTTCTTTATCCTCTGTGTTGGGCTTTTCAGATCTTTCTGGTGTGGAGTCCTTAGATTCTGGTGGTGTCATATTGGCATTTCTGTTGTTGAGTGTGTTCTTATTCAGTCTTCTCCCCATGTCTTCTTCCAGTGGGTTCAGGTGGGTCTCTCTATCTCCTCTTGTTATCCGGTGGTGTGTATGGGCCTAGACTTCAATGTCTGCAACTCTGGATGGTCTTGCCTCTCCTAGTAATCTGCTCACTCAGTAGGGGTCAGGGCAGTAGAGGAGGGAGAAGGAAGAGTGAGGTGTTTCCAGATTCAGGGAGCTCCTCCCTGACTGGGCAGGTCCACTCTAAGCAGGTGCAGGCCCAGAGAGATCCGGGGTGAGTTGGAAGTTGGGTAGGAATTGGACAGGAGCAGAGGGTACACTCTCCTTGGTAGGGGTCAGGCTGGCGGAGGAGTGGGAAGGAAGCCTTCATAACTGTTATTGACTCATTCATTATTCATTCATTATGTAGTCTCCTCATTGTACACTTATTGGTCACCAAGTGGTAGGCACTTGTCTAGGTGGTGCAGATTCGTGATATAATCTTCTTTCTCCAGACATTCACCATGCGAATGTTAGTTCTTCCCAGCTAACCTACCTGTGTGGGTCTCCAAGGTCTGTCTAATACTCCCTCAGGCTTTATGCAATTGAAATTGTGTTCAATTTGTTTGGTCCTTGAAAGGGCCTGCCAAACATTTTCTTTAGCAAATGTGTATTTTCCTTAAGTTTTTTGGTTTCTGTCTGTCTTTCTTTGTTTCTTTTCTTCTCCTCTTCTCTCTTCCTCCCTCCTATGTGTCTTGTGTGTTGTGTTGTGTGTGTGTGTTCATACATGTACAAACTAGAGGTCAATCTATGGTATCATTCCTCAGGGGCTGTCCATCTCTTACTTCAAGGCAGGGTCTCTCATTTGCCTCGCCATGGTCAGTAAATTCCAGAGCTTCATCTGGAGCTGGGATTGCAGTGGTTTCTTCTTCCTTTAGAATTCATGGTAGGACATGCTATTCTCCACGGGCTAGGCTCTAGTACACTTATTAACAAAGGGGTGATTTTCAGAATGAGTAAATGCTGTCAATTGATTTTTACTTTTGCACTTGGCTATTGATATTGCTAAAAACTTTTTGATGATTCCTAGCAATGTAAACAGGTAATGTGAAAGGGTCATTGAAACACAGTTTCTATTGTCACTCTGTAGACCAAACCTTGTCTCTATTGTCTTTGCATGTAATATATACTCTACAAGCACTCTTTTCTGAAATCTTGTGAAAGTGTATCTGACATTGTTTTTTTTTATAATAAAGGAAGGATTAAATTAAGCTGATATCAATTCCATCTTTCTTGAATGCCGCATCTTCTCAGAAAGTGTGGCTTTGGTGAGTTACCTAAGAAGTGCATAAATACCAACTTCCAAGTTGTCAGCGAGGAACGCTGTGTTACTGAAGAGAATTTCAGTGACCCCCTTATTATTAGAGAAGTCCATGTTGGGCTACAATTTTATAAATAAAACAATGCTTGCTTTGAGGTCGTGACAATTTTCTCGTATTTTTGAGGCTGTCAAATAAGAGGCTTGTTGTTTCTTACAACAAAGGTGTTTGCAGAGGAACTGATCAAACTATTATTGCTGATAATCTCATTGTGGAGGCATCACCAATGTTTTTCTGTATTTGAGGCTACTAAGTAAGTTTGAAAACATGGAGGTACTCAGGAACAAAGCAGCTTCTAAGCACAATGGGGTACTGATTCTCTTGACTAAGTCACCACTCTGCTGGGGAGAACTTCTGCCAGTGTTCTGTAGGTTACAACCCCTCTGGTAAGGGGTCTTCCAGAGGACTCACCACAGAAGCCTTCAAAGGTAGCCATGACAACAGGCAACCATGGTTAATGAGATTTTTTTCCAACAAGGGGCCCAACATGCTTTTTGAAAAAGGGATAAGGAAGGCTCATTATAGCCACAGACAGAGGCTATCAGCAAATGAGGACAGATTTTACTCTTTGTTTTGGTGGGAGTCAAGAGGAAGAGGGGACTCGAGATGGGAGGTAGAGGAATGCTCTCTTCTCTACATCCACGTTGGTAGCATTCAATCTTAGTATAATGAATTCAGTGCATCAGTGTCCTTTCTCACAAATGTCCTATGCTTTCTCTATGTTGGGTTAAGCATTGAAAAGACTAGAACATTTTGTCAAAAAGGCCAAGGCTGAGTTACTTCCCACAGGGAATAATGAATTTCACAGTCTACATCCTGCTTCAACAGCTCCAGAAAAAACAATAGGATATCTAGTTCAATTGGAATATTAAACTGACAACATGTATTTTATTTTAAATATATCCCAAATAGGCACAGGCCTACTTATGTTAAAACTAATTTGTTGCTTATTGAACTCTTAACATGGAATTGCATATAGGGAACAATAGAGATATGAGCTTAAAAATACATTTCTTACTCTCTGAACAGCTAAACTAGATCAAGGTAAATACCTTGATCTTCACCAAAGATTTCCTTTGGATTGATGTTAGGTGGCTGATGTTTCTAAAACAAACAAACAAACAAACAAACAAACAAAAACCTCTGGCATCTAGTACCTATCCTTTCTGTCTTCTCTAGCTGCTTCCAACCCTATGTCCCACTGAATAGACATAGTAGATATCCACAGGTGACTTGACAAGTGCCAGTATGGATAGTGGATGGAGGCAGTACCATCATCCCGAGTGATGAGGCAATGTGGACTCTGAAATTGTGGATATTGGTCTGAGTGGCATGTTCATTCAGTCCTCCTGAGTCAGGCACAGTGTAGAGCTCTGGACCAGGGGAACAGCCCAAAGGGGATTTGGAGTACTTAAAAGAATTAGACTTGCTTTTATGTTGCCCTTTCATGCTTTACTTTTCGTCTCTCTACTTTCCATTCTCCTGCTTATATTTTGCCTGCCAACCCCTACTCCTGATGGTGTGAGTCATGGATCAAGCAAGGGTTTATGACTTGGTCTCTCGAACTAGCACCATGTTGATTTGGAGAGTCCATAAAGCTCACGAGGTTAAGCAGTGTAAGGACCCTGCAAAACAGGTCTTCCAAATGCTCCTGAGAAGGGCTAAGGCAGAGTATAGACTCTGCCTGGTTTTCCTGTTTTAAACTCAATAACCTTACATAATGATCCAGGCTTTGGGGAATTATACACAAGACCAGAAGAGGCTTGACATTTGTATAGCACTTTAAAAACGTAAAAGCAACTCTCAAAAATACCACTCCACTGAGTTCTAATACTTTAGGGATTGTTGCAACTTCAGAGAGGCTAAGTGACATGCCCAAGGTCACCAACTCCTGAGTGACTGAACTAGGTTTTACTATTAATACCAATACAGTTTTCCCTCTGCAGGGAGGAAAGCTGAGGCCACAGAGGTGTATGCAATGGAGAGATGCAAAGGGAGCTGGGAGCTCAGGGCCAGATCAGCTGGCTGACAGAAAAGGCACCAACGTGAAGAGTGACCTGTGAGTCCTGAATACCTGGCTAGCCCACAGTGCAAGGGGCAATGGAAATCAGAGAATTGTGTCTACTGGGCTTCTTTGGTTAGGTTGGGAGCAATACCCTGATATAGAGGACTAGTCAGTGGGTCATCTGGGTCTCTTGTTTAGCTGGCTTCTTTCTTTTCCTTTAGAAGCACAGAGTGCAGAGTCTTGTGTGGACTTCTGGAGAACAAATTCTTGGTGTTGTTGTTAAAAGAATTTGGTATAAGACATTGGGGAGGGCCTAGGCCTGGCCCAGGATGATGTTGTGGAATTTGGGGAGCCCCTGTGGAGGGCTCTACCCTCTATGGGAGTGGAGGGGGGAAGGGGATGGTGGGGGATTGGGGAGGAGGGGGAGAGGGAGAAGGGACTGACATGTGAAATTATAATTTGTAAAAATTAAATAAAAAAGAAAAAAAAGAATTTGATATAGGAACAGACAAGGCAAGGGGTATGCCAGAGCCAACCTGGGCAGCAGGTTTTGAAGAGGAAGGCTTCAGACATCTTAGAGGAGAGTTGCAGTCTCTAAAGTGAGCCCCCTCCCTCTGGAAAGCAGAATTCAGGAAAATGGGAGTAAAAACCGGGAAGTCATTTCTAGGCAGAAAGCCAAGGGTTGCTTTTTTTTTTTTTTCCCTTGGTGCCTCCAAACTGTCTCATCCACAAAGGCTACTTTGATTCCAACTCCTTCAAGGAAGGATCAAGTTGGAAACCAGATATTGGCTTGAGAAACTTGTGTGAGTTAATATTTGTCTGGCTGTGGGGAGATATGTATCTAAGGGCAGGTCACAGAGGGGACTCTGTGGTAAGGCATGGACAGGACTCAGGTTGCAGATGTTCTGACCGTCCTAGGGTGGGTCACATGTTCCCTGGCTGTTTCCTCTTTCTTCACATACTGGCCATGGGGAAATCCCCACTGGGCACTATAAGAAGCCCTGGGCTGTAGGAAGAAGCCAGCATTGTAGGCAAGAAGGCAAGATGTGTTACAGACTTGCTTTTCTGCTGTCCCTTTTATTCTGCTTTGGCTCTGTCTCCAGGACTTCAGAGATTCTGACCTCCACCTCTTCCCTGGAGTCAGCTCCAGTATCACCCCAAGTTACAACTCCCGTGGTACCTCCAAGAGCCACATCTTGGGCAGAAGTTAGTACTGTGTCACGGGTAAGAGAGTTGTTGAGTCTGGGTGAGCTATGTTCAATTCTTTTCCTCTTGCTTTTTGGGGAGCTGAATACAATTTCATGGATGACTAGACCTGAGCACTTGAAAGGATTTATGACCCTTTCTTTTCACTGTAGATGCCTCGGAAATGAATTAAAACCTGGGTGAAGTAATTAGATTGTTAGCAGGAGAGACAACATCCCAGTTTTCTACTAATGCACTTGGGGGAAGGTGTGTTCTAAAGAGAGTCTCAACCCAGGTTGACCAATAGGATCAGTGGTGAGGAGAATCCTAAAAGTCCAGATGCCTTGGTTCTAACCTGTACCGGTGTTTACAACTCAGGCATTTAAAAAGTCTAGTTGATTCTAATGTGTAGTCTGGGATGGGAGCTTTTAGGATAGAGATTCCAGAGAATCCATGCTTGCAAAGTTTATTCACCTGATTTGCTGCCCAGAGGGAGCCTTTTGGGGGTAAATAATACACTCTGAGGGAGTGAGAGTCTCCATGAGACAGCTGGAGCCCTGTCAGTTCCTCTCTACCTAGTTTATAAGGAAGATGGCTAATGAGTCTAAGGACATGGTAAGGTCAGTAAAACGCTTGTGCAGTGAAAGGTCCTTCACACTAGCATGAGGAACAGTGTCTGTATCTCTACCACCCATGTAAGAAGCCAGGTAAGGCAGCACCCATCTGGTTGGAGGAGGCAGGGACAGGAGGATACTTGGGCTAACTTGTCAACCATTACAGCTCATTGGTGGGCTCCAGGTTCAGTGACAGATCTCTTCTCAAGAAAAATAGCATGGCAAATAGTAGAGAAAGACATCTGCTACCTTCCCACAAATGTGCATGGGCACACACTCACACAAGCACACACACATAGAGAGAACATGGGTTAAAAGGAGTTGAATTATTAGTCTTAGGAAAATGCCATTGCAAGTGGAAATTTCCCAAGGGAATGCTAACTCTTCTCATTCTTTTTCATAAGGAATTGCTTGGGCTATTTCCAGTGTCAAACATCTGCAGCAGTGAAATGAACCAACAAAGGCACTATGTCCTACTACAGTGATGGCCCTGGAGAGGTTCCCTGTGTAGATTGCATAGATTGTCTGGTTCTTTGGGGGATGAGAACATTTTGGCTTTCCTTTAAAAAAGAAAAAGAGGCATGGAGAAGCTGCAGGATGAGGGACAGGAAACCGCTGCCCACTTTACCTCTGGGCCTTTCTGCAGAAGTGTTCCTTTGCAAAGCCGCCCAGGCCAGCCTTGCTGCAGTGCGACTGGTGCTTGAGAGTCCCTAACTCCATCAAAGTGCCTCATTCAGAACTACTAGGACTTTCATTTAGAGATCCTCTAGCCAGCCACTTCCATGAACTTGTCTGAGTGGAAGGATAAATAGGAAAAGGGGAGGGGAAGCTTCTGTTAGAACATTTACATTAGCATCGTTAAAATGTACAGGCAAAAAGCTTGTACGGGGCCTAGAGGGCAACAGCATCAGTGATATTCAGTCCATGCCTAATGAATGCCAAGACTAGGTTAGTACATTTACTGCTTATTTAACCCACAAGTTAGGTAAAAGTAATGGTCCCTTCTAGAGATGTTAAATCTGAGGCTTACCATGGTCAGGTCACCAAACTGAGAGGGTACATCTCTTCAGATTAGTCTGCTCATGCTAGTTTAGTTGTTTCATTCAGGTTGTTATTCATTTCAATGGAACCTGTTGTGGAAACCATCTCTTTGCATGCAGCTTTCTATATTTCTGGGGTACAGGTGAAAATTGCTTTAAAATGGAGGAAGTTCAGAGAATCACAATCGCACACCAGCTCCTCCGTCATCAGAAATCCCCAATCTACTCTTACCCTGTATTAAACAATTTCTGGGCTAATGAGAATGGGCTACATGTTTTCCTTTTTTATTTTTTTGTAAATAATAATTTGCTATAAAGCTTCACTCTACCCATCAAATCCAGCATTTGGATTAACTGAAATAATAGAAAGTAAAGTATCAGTCAAGAAACAGAGGGATTTAAAGTGCCTGCTGTCTGGAAGAAGACCCATATTTAAAAGTAAGTAAGAACTAGTAGTTAAATTACAGAGGATTCAATTTCTTTCATCGTTTGCTTATCTGCCTGTGGCAAGGGAGTCAGTATCACACTCCAACCTCCTTTTTTTAGCGGACCAGGTGTCAATTCCACCATAAACCTAATTTTCTAGGGCTGGCTGTCATCTTGATGAGCTTGTTGGGAAGTAGTGGAAAACCCTTTTATAACTGTCATTGAGCAAGTTTCAAACGTATCATTTTCTGTACTTTGGAAACTCTGAGTACCATTATTTTATGTCTTGAATCTTTGTGGGCACTTAGACTTGGCTGCTAATTAGAACCAATTGCGACCTTAAATCACAGATGTGAGTCTCACTGTCTGCTGGCTGGTTCAGAACACAACACATGCCTCCAAAGACTTGGCCACTTCCTTTCGTAGATATAGGAGAGGCTCCTCACGGTCACTGGCAGGGCTAGAGACCCAGTGGTCTGTGTGCTTTTGTCATCAGAGTCTGAGGCTGTTGGAAAAGCCCCTAGAGCACTCAGAAAGAAAGCGGGCTTGATTGGGTTAGAATTGGTTTTAATCAGCTTCTAATTCCAGAATATGGGGTATTGTAGACCTTTGTAAATGTTAATTTAACATATACCCAGTGAGAACTTATCGTTTAGTCACTCTTGTGGGGCACACAGAGTTCTGCTTACCCTCCACAAGGGGATGACACATCCCTCCAAAGGCCAAGGGGACAAGCACTTGTCTTTGTGTCTCATTCCCTACATTTCATTCAAGTAGTCTGCACATTCACCGCAGAAAGACTCATCACCATTAGCTTCATTGTCTTTGAATTCCAGGAGCAGAAATATCTCTAATGGGAGACACTGATCAAACTTATGGACCGTTTTGATGTCAGCCAAGCACGCTGGGCTGATGATAAGCAGGATGGACTCCACAGCACTGGGACAGAGATGTTCAATAGAAGCCAGTGGAATGGCTGTCAGCTGGGCTTATAATTATTTGCTTGTCTTTCAGGTGAACTTCAGGACTGAAAGATGTTACCTAGTGGTTCCTAGTTAGTTGTCTAGAGACTTCTTGATGATATCTGCTGTTCCCAGAATTGACAGAGCTTCTTGGAGAAGTACAGGAATGGTCCCCCCCTGTCTCGTGAAGCTAATTAACCTCCTCTTGTCAATGCAATGCAAGATTTTTTCTTTGCTAGATGGTTACTATAATAAGGTATTTCTTCAAAAACCTGTAAATGACTTGGCATACCTGTGCTAGAGTCTTTCTGTCTTTAGATAGAGTAATATGTCTGAGTCCAGTAGAATCCAACCTCTCCAACAGGTTCCTGGTATATATCATTTAGCCTTTATTCAGTTTTTGCCAAGACCCTTCCCACCTCCACTCTAACCCCTTGCTCCCATGTGCAGCATAAACCTGCTTGCTCCTGAACCTTACTGTCTGATTCCTACAGAAGGAGGAATCTGGTTGGGCAAGAAAGAACAGTGTCAAGACTTTCCTTGGTGTGGAGGGCTGGGAAGGTAGCATAGCCGATAAATTGCTTGCAAACCACAAGGTCTTGAGTTTAGTCCCCAGAACCTGCAATTTAAAAGCCAAGTGTGGTAGTGTGGGTTGTTGTCCCAGTACTGGGGAGGCAGGATGAGCAGGATCTGTGAGACTGACTGATCAGCATCCTAGCCTACTTGATGAGTCCCAGGCCAATGAGAGACTGTCTCAAGAGAAAAAGGCAAATGTTTCCTAAGGAATGACACTTGGGGTTGTCCTCTGGCTTCTACATCTTCCATGTCTGCATGCGCGCGCGCGCGTGCGCGCGCACACACACACACACACACACACACACACACACACACACACTTCATTCTTATAATCTTAGAAAAGCTTAGGTTCATTTAAAAACACCACAACCACCACCCTTTGCAAGAGCCTTAATTGGCCCAGAGGTCACTGCTGGACTAAATCTCAATTACAGGAGCATGTGGACCAAGTTTGTTCAGGGGTCATGGAGATCAGTAGAGGTGGCTTGTGTGGGGGGCAGACACACTCAGCTGCTGCCAGCTGATGTGAACTTTGACACATGGCTGGAGTCTCTCCAGACTCTGAAAACTGCTCTCTCCTCTTTAGTGTCACAAAGAGTCCCTTCAGGCTGATACTCCATAGGTGAGCTTTAGGCTGGCCTTCAGATGATGAGATCATTAAAAAGCAAAGCCAGTTGGCTGGCAAGATTCACTCTGCAAGGCAATAGTAGTAATGAAAAATGTTAATTGTGCCAGGATCCCCTTGGGGTAGTTCAAAGGGGACAAAAGAAAAACAGAATCCTTCAAACCTGTCATTTTAAAATATGCAGCAGCATCGAAGTGTGAGCCTGAATATCTTAAAGAAACTTCAAATATTTTAAAATGAGCTAGAGAACTTCTATTTGCAAGAAACCTCTAAACTTATATGCTGCTCAATTTTTGGGTAAATAGATGGCTCATTTCCATTTGGAAAAATGTGAATTTTATAATTTCCCAGCTGAAGAGAGGATTTGAATTCTCATTGGATATCTTTACCACTACCCACAAACCTTCATGTTTTCTTTATTCTAATTGGGAGGAACTGGGCTGGGATTGGAGTGTGTGTGTGTGTGTGTGTGTGTGTGTGTGTGTGTGTAGACAGATAGAAGGAAAGAGAAAGTGACAGCACCCAATCACTTGTTGAATGCCTGAGTCTCAGCACACATCACTTGCTTACTTCAGTCGGGGTTATCTGAATTTTATAGGGGAGGAAACAGACTTAAGAAGGTGTCACATCCAGCAAATGGAAGAACAGATGTTCAAACTTACTGCTCTTGGCCCCTTTTATTTCCTTCCCTCTGCACTGAGATAGAACGATTTCTTTAAGACTCCTCAAGCATGGAGAATCTTGCTTTTGATACAAGCTGCTGACAGAGGCTTAGCCAACAGGTGGAGATGGGGTTGGCTTGTCTATATGACACCGTTTATTGATGTGTTGGACAGTACTTGTTTGCCTCCAGTCACTGATTTGCCAACCCGATTTCTGTCATTCCTGTTGCCTAAAAGGTTCATTTCCCAGCTTGTCGCTGACACTCGCCTTTTATTATTTTCAGCCGTTTTCCAATTTCACCGGCTCTGTGGACAGCCATGGGACCTGCCAGTGCTCCGTTTCCCTGCCGGACACCACTTTTCCTGCTGACAGAGTGGAGCGCTTAGAATTCACAGCTCACAACCTTTCTCAGAAGTTTGAGAAAGAATTTTCTAAGGTATGTGTATTCTTTTCAAACAGTAGCTTGATTTAGTAGAGAGTGAGAACTTCAGGGTCTGCAGGACTCTGGTCCTCACACTGTGGGGAAGTGGGAAACCCTCGGTCCTGCCACTCGGATTGCCTTGTGGTTTCTTCGTCTCCTTGGCTTTCATTTACCCTTGTGGATTTGATTTGTTTTCTCTCTCCTCTTCTCCACCCTCCTTCGCTCTTGTTTAATCTTCTTTCACTTTCCCCCTCAATTCTTATCCATTCTTGTGTCCATTGGTTTCCTATTCACTTTGCCTTAATTCTTTATCTTGCTCACTCTTCCTAATCTTTCTTACTCGTCCTTTCTATTCTTTTTATTGTTGTGCTCTTGTTGGTGTTCTTTCATTTTTAGATGGTCCTTTCCTCATTCTCCTTCTTCCTGTCCTTTTTTTCCTTCTCAAATCTTCTCTTTCTTATTCTCCATTTTCCTTCCATCTTTTACTTTCTCTACCCACTTTAATGATGGATATATTTGAATCTAAATGACCCCTTTCTTTTTACCCCCCCTCCCCCAGTACTTATTTTTGTTTGTTAGAACAGGAACATTTCATTCCATGTGTCTTCCATGAGTCCAAAACTGAAGGCTTTTTTGGGGGGATTTGAATGGAGATCAATGGGTCTCTCAGCCTTGGGGAAAACCCTAGCTAGAACCTTCTGGTCGCTGCTCCGTGCAGCCAGAGGAATTTATTCTTTTCTTTTCTTTCTTTCTTTTTGTTTTTTGTTTGTTTGTTTGTTTTTTTGAGACAGGGTTTCTCTGTATTGTTTTGGAGCCTGTCCTGGAACTCGCTCTGTAGACCAGGCTGGCCTTGAACTCACAGAGATCCAGTGATCCTGCCTCTGCCTCCCAAGTGCTGGGATTAAAGGTGTGCACCATCAATGCCCAGCCAGAGAAGAATTCACTCTAAAGGAGATGTCTTTCTCTAAGCCTGCTGGAGCCATGTGACTTGCCATTCCAATTTCAACCCCTTCCAGCTTTTTAGCCAAGCTACAAATCAATTAGAAAGGCTCCCGTTTTATGTCCAGGTGAAGTCCAAGCTAGAATATAATCACATTATGCATTATTTAATACAACCCCATTAATTTACAAGGAGTTCTGGCTTTACTGCAGCCTTCTAAATAAGTTTTCCTGAGCAATTTAAGTATAGCCACTACAACATCCAATACAGTTATCCTTTAAGACAAAAATTACGGTTAGCCTGAGACCCTGCTTTCAACCTGAATTGGTAGATAAATATTCTAAGTTAAAATGAGTGTCCAGGAAAAATGTGTTTGACTACTCCAGGAATCTAGCTTCTTAAGAAATAAAATGTCCTTGAATTAATCAGCAGAAAAGGCATAGCACTAAATTATAAATTCCAACCATTAATATTCATAGCCTTATTCCAGCATAATCAAGTAGAGATAAGAAGTTATGCATAAAAACATAACAAGTAGAGGAAAATCCTAGGTAAAGGTCTTTTTCAGTTGGAGTCATTTGCTTTGAAATGGTGGAAGCCACTGATTTGCATGTCGTCTTTGCTGGCAGGAGTATGAAGGACAGTTTGAAACCTCAAGCTGCCCCAGAGAGTGGACATGGCTTGCCATGTTTATGAATATGGGGCATTTAAGTGCTGTAAGTGGGGTGACAGCTGCTTTGCTAATAATTGGTAGAGAGAGTGTTAGAATAGGTGGGAAATCCTTCAGTTCTGAAGGTGTCAGTAGTTTGTCCCTCTGCCCACAAAAAAAAGAAAGAAAGAAAAAAAGAAAGAAAATCAAAAGAAATGGAAACTAGAAAAGGAATTTAGCATCATCTGAGGTTTGCATGGATGATTTGTTCTGGTGGATGACACCAGTGATAAAAGTAGCAGCCTTCATTTGTACTTGTTCAAATGTTCTTTCAAGCGAGCCTTTAATGGAGGTAGACCACATCTCCTCACTCCCACTTTAATGATGGAAAACTCAAGGTTCACACAGGTAAAGCAACTTCCCTGAGGTCATTCCTCTCTTGGCTGCTATAGTAAGGTCAGGGATTTGAGCCTTCAGAATCAAGCCGGACCTCTTTCCTCATCCAGGCTGTTTTTACTCTTCTGAGGAGACTCAAGATACTGAGTTGGTTATGCCTTCAAATCCCCAGTTATCTCTTCAGCTTCTGGATTTCCGGGTGAATTATTACAGCTGTCCCCAGGCTGTCTTAGAAATCACCATTTATCTAGGGACTGGGGGAATGCCCACTGTGAGCAGGTGAAAGGCTTGAGACTGCCTTCCATTAATTCATTATCTGTCAGTACACAGGGAAGTCAGGAAGATGCCACTGCAGAAAATGCAGAAAGCATTTTAGAATTTTCTGTTGCTCATGACACATCCTGTGTGATCATACTTAGGAAGGAGATGCCACAAAAGGCAGCTCAGGTTGTCTGATTTTTTTCTTTCTCTTGAGGTTCCTGGTCTTTCGGGAAAGTTATTTAATATGACACATTTACTAATAAATGCTTGTGCCTGAGAAGGTTGAGGCAGCCTGGGAGGTATTTGAACAACCCATAAACAAACAACATTGATTGAGCAATGCTTCGTGCAGTGGAATAAAAATAAATTAAAAGGTCATAATGAAAAACAGTGAAATAACTATTTCTCTGTTAATTTCTAGAATTTATAGAGCATCCATTAGCGAGGCCCTTAATGTACAGCATCTCTATTCTCTTCAATAATCTTGCAAGCTTGATGTCATTACCCTTGGTTTGGGAAGTATAGTCAAGCCTAGAGAAATTAAATGATTTGCCCATTGGGTACTGAAGTTAGATTTGAGCTCAGGCAGTTCTTGTACCAAATATTGCATGTTTTGATGATATTTTCAGGGTCAATTAACCTAATTGCATTTGCTTTTAAGGATATGTTGAAGATAACAGTATGTTTCAAAGTCCATTTACTTATTTCAAGTAATCTGGCTATAGTTATGATTCTGGGTTTTGAGGAACTGACAAAACTATGAACCAGACTAATTATTTAGCTGAACAGCCAGACACTCTACCTCCTTATTTATGACAAGGCTACCTTTATTGTAAGAAACAAATCCAGAAACAAACTCCAAACAAACTTTGATTCTTTTTTTAATTCATGACATGTTTAAGTGCATACCAAACAAAATAAAGCAGAAGCTGTGAATGCCAGCCTGGTGATTTGATGGCCAGCATTGTGAATGTTCTTAGACTCACACTTGCCTTAGTGATGAAATTGGTGCAAAGATGTTGTTACAACTGCATGCCCTCTCTGTCTAAGACCCATGTTCTTGCTAGCATGTTTTTACACCATCCCTGGCCTCTAAATGCCAGTACCACATACTCAACAACCAGTTGTGGCAACCAAATTATCTCTGGAGACAAGCTCCCTGCTTGGGCTTCTTTCCTCTGTTGAGAACAACTATTCTAAGTCCAGGAGGGAAAAATGTGCTAAATTTAGTAAAGGTACTAAATGTCAGAGGTGTGGGACTGGCCTCATCACTATGCTAGTCTGCCATTACTGAGCAGAAACTACAAGATCTCAGAGCTGTCTGTCTATCTCTGTGCACAAAATCTATACAATTGTAAGTTTCACATAAGAAGCCTTTCTGGCCCATTTTCTAATTTTTTTCCTGCACACCACAACCGTGGATAATTCCAGTTTTTCCTGGATACCACCCTGCTTTCCTCCAAATGTCAGCAGAAAGGATCACCCTTCAAAATTTCGTGCCAGGTTTAGAGAGACATTTGGTTTTGTAGCTGAACTTGGGGCAGACCCAGCACAAATTCTCACAGGTCACAAACTCCAGGCCATGCCTTGGTTTTCTGCAATAATCAGAGGGAACCTCATTTTATTTAGCAGAGATGACAGTTACATCACTCATTTGCACAGAACAGTAGCTTTACCGTGTCACCAAAGTGTTCCAGGAAAGCCGGGGGTATTTCGTTTGTTCCCAGAGCTGGCAAGGCCAAATGCCAGCAAGCACACTCATTTCTCAAACATCTATTTCTGTAATGGATTGGTGCATTATTGTTATGTTTTCACCAGAGGCAAGGCTTTATGGCCAATTTTTTAAAAAAGAAATCGAAGCCTGAACACCTTGTGTCTGTGTTCATTTTTTTGAGGGGTGGGGGTTTGTTATATACACCCCACACCCTTTTTTAAAACCTCTATCCACCAAAATATCACTATCCCTATCAGCCTCCAAGTAATGGGGCATTTGATGGCAGTGAATGTCGATTGCCAGAGGAGATATAGTAAGGTACCAAGGAGTGCAGTTCCAATGTTCATTAGAACCCTCTTCTCCTGAGGCTCTAGTTCTGAAGGTCTGGGGCCCATGAGTCTATTCTAATTTGCATGATGGGGTTAAGTGGAAGGGCTACAATGACAGGCGTTAGGACAGGCTTTGTCATTAGAAAGACCACAGGTCAACATATGTCTGAATTCATCCAGGCACTTGCCATTAGTGTAGTTTGGGGAGAAGTATTACTTATGCTCACACTTTAAGAAAGAAACCGAAAGCAGCAACTTTTTAATGAGCAAGTCTTTGAAAAAGCCATGACATTTCTTTTAGAGATCAGATACAAAAATGTGTCACTGACTGTTTATTGAAATATCCTTTTGGAGGTTCCAATTATACACTCAACCACCAAGGGAATTTTTGGAAGTATTTTAACTTAATGATCAGACATTCAAATATATGCAACAAATGTGTAATTTAAAGGTCTGATTGCAATAATCAGTTCTTGGAACAAATGTGAACTCACTTAATGAAATGTGCACTTTACAGTCGTGCCTACACTCACGTACTGTATAGTACGTTGGGTCATTATGCTTCTTTGTAAAAGGCAGAGAGGCTCAGAATTCTTGGCACATGATTCTCAAGGAGAGGATTCTACTTGGTGGAGATGTCCCCTCTTCTAGAAAACACTGAGACTTAGAGAGAGCAATGGCTCTAAACAAAAGGATGGTAGAGGTAGTGTTTTGTCCTTAGAGAACATTTAGTAATGTCTTGAGACATTTTTGGTTGTCATGACTTGGAACAACTGAATATCCTACAATTCACGGCATAGCTGCCCCACTCCAACACACAAGAAAGAGACCTGCTTAAAATGTCAATGGCACTGAGGCCAAGAAATCCGGATTTAGAGCAAAAGACCTGAGAAGTTAGATGATCCCAAGCAGTTCAGTCCAATGAGCTAGCGTCCTTAGACTCGAAAAGGGACCTTATAATACACATACAGGTTATTTTCAGTGTAGGTAAGTGTGACCCAAAGCCACAGTAACACGTTACTTTTAGTATTCTTTTCGATAAATAAAACAAAAGGGGTAGCTGTTTTTGGAAACACTCCTTTGCAAGTGATGACCAAGATCAAATAATCTTCAAGTATTTTGTAGTGGGGGAAGTCTATTTGATATGATGGTGTGAGTTGACATAAGCTTTTTGCTTCTCCTACAGGTGAAGGAGTATGTCAAGCTAATCAGTGTGTATGAGAAGAAGCTCCGGAACTTGACTGTCCGAGTAGAGGTCATGGAGAAGGACAGTATTTCTTACACAGAACTGGACTTTGCGCTCATCAAGCTGGAAGTGAATGAGATGCATAAGCTGGTCATACAGCTGAGGGAGAATTTTGTTGGAAGCACAGACGTTATCGAGAAGCTGGAAGTGGAGGTATGGAATGCCTCACTTGACAATCAATAATGCATTTTGTCCAGTGACTGAACAAGCGCCATGACCTGGATGGGATACTCTTTCCTCAACCCTAATTCTGCTACTGTCTCAGGACCATGAGACAATCTGTGTTCTGTTTTGGATGAATGCCTATACTTGTGTAATAAGTTAAGTGTATTGGGAACATGTTAACTGAGAAGCAGATGTTGAACACTAAGAATTCTGTCCCAGAGCTGAATCTCCTTTCTGTTCTTTAAGAAGTGATGGTATAAATCTGAATTGGCCATGCTAAACCAGGGATCTTCTCTTGGTTTATCCTCATGAGACTAGAATTTAGTTTACCAGATTGTGGATATATTCCCTTTTGAATGACCCCATATCTCTCTTAGAATTATTCTCCACATTCTTAAATTTCTTGTGTATCTGGCCTTACATAGATCTAAGGTGATGGATATGAATCAATTTTTAGTCTCCCACATGCAGCTGTTCAGTTTGACCAGCACAATTTGTTGAAGACACTATCTTTTCTTCAGTGTGTGTTTTCTGCTTTTTTTTCTTTTTGTCAATTAGTTGTCCGTAGTTGTGTGGAGTTACATTAGTCTTCAGTTCTATTACATTGTTCAGTATGTCTGTTTTTATGCCAATGTCATGTTGATTTTTATTACCATGGCCCTGTAGTAAGGCTTGGAATCTGGGATGGTGCATAGCAATACAACAACTCCTGATGACATATTGCTACACCCATAGATCAGTGCACCACTCAACACTCAGCAGAGAAACGTCTCTTCAAAATAGATGGGAATCAACACAGAGACTGACAGCTGGACAATGTGCAGAAATTGAAAGACTTTGGGGCTTTAAGCTCTGAAAGGGATGTGTTCATCACACCACTGTCCTCACTGTTCATGGATCTATGGAGAAAGAGGGAATGAAAAGATTTTAAGAGCCAGAGGTGGTGGATGATTTTAAGGAAATGGAATTTTCCAGACACAACAAGGCAGATACACATGTGAGCTCACAGAAACTGGCACAGGTACATAAGACATGCACAATCTAAAGCTATTTAAAAATCTGAGCACAAGGGGCTGGAGAGATGGCTCAGTAGTTAAGAGCACTGACTGCTCTTCCAGAGGACCTGGGTTCAACTCCCAGCACCCACATGGCAGCTCACAACTGTCTATAACTCAAAGATCTGGCACCCTCATAGAGAGATGCAGGCAAAACACCCATGAGAATAACATAAAAATAAATGAATTTAAAAGATCTGAGCATGAAGGAGGGGGAGTGGGCATAATGTCCCACCTCTAGCCAAGAAGCTCTTTGTAAACAATAGCTGCTGAGAGAGGGAAAATTAGTCTTCTTTAATTGATTGACACTGGGTACATCAACCACAGCTCAGAAGAATCCCATGCTCAGGAGTAGATTACCAACACAAATGAACTCCATGTTTTTTAGTTGCTCTTTTGTTTTGTTTTTGTTTTTGAAAGAGAGAGAAAGAACGTGAAGTTGAATGGGTGTGGAGGGGGAGGATCTGGGTACGAAAGAATATGACAAAAATATACTGTGTAAAAGTCTCAAGAATAAGTTGAAAAAATTAGAACATGCAAAAATTAAGGGAAAAATAGATTTCTTGTGAATATGTCTTAGCAAAGTCTTTAAAGACCTATGGATAAGATTGCCATGTTAATATTATGGTTGGGCAATTTATATCAACCAGAATTTACTAGCATGGTCATGACATGGCTATAATTGAGAATTCTAGTTACATATTTTAGAATTTACATTTTCTCTAGCTCTCACCATTCATTAGAAACTTAATTATAATACGACATGAGTAAACACGAGTTTATAGGGTAAGGTTATTAGAAATGAACTTTAATGGACATTTGTGATTGCCTAGAGTGAGGCTTGCTCTGTTATTAAAGCTGTTAAAATCTTTGCCATTTTCTTCTTGTCACACACACTGCCTGAGATGTGACAGGCATTCAGTCTAAACCATAAAATGTATTCTTCCAAATGAAACCATTCAGACCAATCTCTGGTGTATTCTGCAGCAATGTTTCACTAAATGACAAAGTCAGCCCCAGAATGTTTATGAAAGAAATTGCACAATAATATAAAGTCACTCTGAATTTTTTATTTCCTTAGATAAGGAATATGACTCTCCTGGTAGAGAAGCTGGAGACGCTAGACCAAAACAATGTCCTTAGCATTCGCCGGCAAATCTTGGCTCTGAAGAACAAGCTGAAAGAATGCGAGGCCTCTAAAAGTGAGCTCGTGCCTGCCACGCCCCCTCCACCTGCTCCTGGTAAGCCTGCTATATGCATTGTTTTTACCACTTGGGTGAGACCCCATAACAAGCCATGAGCTGGGTGGGGAAAAGATTTGAGATTATGGGGATGGAGGAATCGTGGCATTTTTGCAGTTCTGAGTTTATTCTTCCACATTTGAAATCTTCCCACCTTCAACTAGTTCTATTATCATATGCTGGGGGTCACAGAGGAAAAGCACAATGAATTTTTCTAAAACAACATCCACTGTTACTCACATTCCTTTTGCACTTCCATAACAGGGAAAAAAACTGTCTGAAGGAGAGAAGAGCTATGGGACCAGGGATCTCTTTGTGGCATTTATGTGTCATTGCCTTCTGGTAGATGGAAAGGGCTGATTGGCTCATTTATGTTATAGGCTGGGCGTGTGCCTTTGTTTCTCTGCCATCCCTTTTTCCTGCCTTCTCCTCCACACTCCTCTGCACTTTACATTTATTCCTCCCTGAAGTGCCTTCTGGGTACCGGCTGTAATCTGAGTCCTGGGACTCACTGAGAATTAAAGGGATAGGGGTATCACACACCGTGGACATGCCTTGCTACCCACCCAGCAGAACAGGAGGCATCTCACTCTTCCCCAGAATAACTACAGAAAAGTGTATGTTGGGGGAGGGAGAGGCAGGTACTTAAATTCATCCATGAATGGAAGCAGTGGAGTGGTGGCTTGGAGAAAATAGTTTTGGGATCCCGGACATTGCCAGCCATGTGGCTGCAGAGAAAAGATCCTTCATCTTACTTGTAAAACGGGAGAATAATTGTACTCACCTTATAGGGTTGCTATGGGGATTAATGAGGCAGTGCTTGGGAAGCTCAGGGCTCTGTAATCAGCACCCATACACCGGCAATGGATATTATTAGTAATCATGATAATTGAAGTGAAAGCCTGGCTGTGAACAGAGATAGGGCTAAATCCTGCTGCCTCCCTCTGGCCTCTCAATCACAGAATTCAGCCCCATCCTTTATAGATTTCACACCAAAGGAATTTCTCTCGTGGTCTTGAGCATCTCGGCCTCCATGGAACTGTCACTTGTCATCAAATTGTGAAACCTTTGTTGTCTTTACAAATGCCAATTCTCACTAGTCTTTTCCTTTGGACTATAGATTTCTGGATCTTCTCATGTAACTGACTTCTTTAAGGCTTCAGTTGGGTAGGACTGTAGTTATTTGCCTTCTGGTCCTGTTCAGGGGATGTGCCCTCCAGTTATAGTCAGAGGTCTGTTCTAGTATGATTTACAGAGGGTGCTTAGAGCAAGGATCTTGGTCTGCCTTCAGAGACTCCGTAAAGCTGAATTGGTCTGGATAAGAGTTATAATCACACCAAAGTGGGAGCTGGTTCTGATGGACCATGGCAGCCTTTCCAGGCAAGATTCAGAGCAGAGGCACAAGCTTGGCAAGGATGAGCAAGCAGACCCCAGCCAAACTGATTTTCTTGGCACAGGTTTCTAGTCACCAACTGGAAATCTAGCACATTCTAAAGCAAGAAGGAACATCCAGGGCCATCTAACTTAGTTCTGTGATATTCCAATGGGTGGGCTTGAGTCTGGAGGATGTTGCTTTTCTTGAAGGCACACCAGCACTCAGTGACACAGTTTATGTTGTAATATGTCTTCGATCTCAGGACACTCCCTAATAACCTGAGAGTCAGGTGGCAGTCACCTAAGGGTGATGGTGGGGGAGGGGAAACACATTGCTCAATATTTAGGGAAGAAAGCAAGCAAGCCTTTTGAGTTATTTTTAGAAATATTTACAAGACTTTCCCTTAGGCCTTCGCACTTAGATGCCTGTGAACCATCTCAGCCCAGCTGTGTGGTTTAAGCAAACCCAACCCAGACTTCCACTCACTTTCTCACAACCTTGGCTGTGCCTGGATCCCTGCCAAACCACTTGGCCCTCCTCCAGCTTTGTCCATATTATATTTATGATGTTTATATTAAACTGATTTTTGTCATGTTTTTAAATCAATTTCTTTCACTTGATCTCTTTATGTTTGGATTGGTTGATAATGCAGAATTGGAAAATCCCCAGGCACCACAAAGTTGTGAGCCTGTGGAGACTTTAATTAAAGTTCCTCACTATTATAGGACTTTAAAATCTGGCCTGTCTGCCTTTTTTTTCACTGTGAAGTTGCACAGAACCAAAAAAAAAAAAAGACCATATATGAGCCTCAGCTCTAAAATAATTCTGCACTCTCTGGGCTCCACCAAGGCAGCTGAACTTTGCAGCTTGAACTTAGACCCAAAGTGTTTTGTTTTTAATAAAATGCAATATATGTGTGTGCATGAATGTGTGTATGTGCATTGCCACAAATACAATCTTTTCCTGCTTCAATTTACAGAACTTTCTAATGTAGAATAATTGATCTTCTGTTTATTAACTCCCCCCCTCAAACAATTGACTTCAGTCTATTTTTTTTCTCTCCATCTAAATGGCAGCAGCCCACTGGAAAACAAATGATGATAATTCCCAGGGGTCACTGTGTTGCTTGAGGAAGTTAGGTTTTGCAGGTACATAGAAGGTATTCAGTAAATGGTAGGTGGTTGAACGGGATGCAAACGACATGGGAGGGCATGCTAAAATCCTAAGCTTAGAGATGCACAGAGTGTTGAGAACACAACCAATGATGCAGAAGCAACTTATTATCAATTTTCTTACAATTGTAATCATTTTACTTGCCTAATTCTTGGATTGTTTTGGCTTTTTTTGGAGATAGGATTTCACTCTGTAGTCCAGGGTAGCCTGACGTTCATGCCAAGCCTATATCCTAACGCACTAAGTAGTGGGCTAAAAAGTATGAGCCACTACCACCTAGCTTAATTGTGTAGTTCTTACAAGTTAATCGTATTTTCTCCAGATGTGGTACACAGACAGCTTAGTTGTCCAGGCGAGAATCTGCACTGACAGACCCATAATTAAGCTTTCTCTGTAGGCATACCATGTTTGGCTTTAAAAATCCACTCTATTAGCTTAAAAAGTTTACATAGCCACGTTTCAAGGCTCAGGACTATGAGAATACCGGGATAGGAGCTAATGGATTGCATGATGAAGAAAGTGCCTTTGTATAGAGAATTCCCTGCTCCTTAGTCTATAAAACAAATTAATCAGATGCATCAGGGTGGGTCTCTAGCGTTTTGTAAAATGAGGTTGGATTTAATGATTGGCTAAGTCTTTTATTCCTTTATTCCCTTGTGTGGTCATCCCTCTGTTTGCTAGATTGCTAGAGACTACCAGAATGGGTGAAGAAATACCCAGAAGCCACTATCCAGAAAACAGCTATGTAAAGCGGAACTGGTATGATCTGATTATAATGATGGTAGTTACTATCGATTGAGTTGTATTTACAAGCCTTATTGCTGTTCTTTTCAACACTCCTGTGGCTTAGACATTGTTTATTTAACATAAGGAAACTTGCAACATGCTCCACGATATACAGTAACAAAAAAGTAGAGCCAGGCTTTGCACTAGAGCCTGTCTGCAATACCTTCTCTGTGCCAGGCTGGTATGTGACTGTGACTATAGCTGCTTTAACAAGGAGGTGTCCCTGTGACTTCTGGAATGAGAAGGCAGTTCCAACAAGGCACCCAATTGATTAGCTCTCAGTTATCTTTGCTTCCTTGCTTATAGAGTGGCTGGAAGGACACTCTTGTTTCTGAAAATTTGGTGCTTTGTTCTTTTCCACCAGCACATGTAAAATGATTCACTGGCGCTTGGCAGTTGTTGGGTTATGGGCTGGACAACTGCTTGTTGCCAAAGGGATGGGAAATGGGTAAGAAAGGGAATAGACTATATTTAAGATCTTGACATGAAGGCAGGAGTTAGGGAGGGTGTGAAATAAAGATGAGTGGGTGAAAGACCCATGTGAAAGGGACAGGAGGAGATGGGCACTCCGCTGAGCAGTGGGCACCAAGATGGCTGCCAGTTGGGTAGTTTCCTTGTTTGATTCCAGCTATCGGGGAGGCCCTCCACCCAACCACAGCCCTTTCCCTGACTTGTCATTCATCACTACTATACTGTAGCCACAGCCCACAGTACTGACAATAATGCTTTTCTCTCTTTTTTTTTTCTCTCTTCTTTTTGGTTCCTATTTCTTCTTCCTTTTAACCATATCCAGAGCACTAAAAATATCTAGAGGGGGCAGAAGATAAAAGGAAAGTAAAAAAATAATGGATAGGAGAGTATTTAGAAATGATTGGGAGGTGGGAGAAGCAATTAAAGTGTCATTCAATTTTCATACTTACAACAGGCACAGTTTAAATTTCTGGTCAAGATAAGAAATAATAAACCTTAATTATTGTTTTAACAATGAAACCATTGCTGTAAGGTTAGAAGTATTAATTGCGTAGTTTGGTTCTTTTATGTCTAAAGATTTCACATCAGAGACAGAACAGTCTATCTTTAACCCTTGAGAACATAAGGATAAGTTATATGCATCATGAGCTTTTCTGAAATATTGTGTTACTGTTGGTTTGGGATATTTTCCTTCCAGGAAATTCAGGTTCAATGAAGCAAGCAACCCTTAAGTCTTCCAACCTGAAAGAAGGGAGGTGACTTTCATTTCCTCACAGTGAAATGTAGTTGCATAAATAAGCTCTCTGCTAGGTATTTTAACCAGAAAAATCCAGTTTTAGCATATGGAAACTGGAACAGTTTTTGTTTTCATTAAACTGAACACACTGCTAACTTTATTTTAATAATTCATGCATTGTTTCATAAACAAAGGCAAACAAGCATTCATCTGAGAGATCACTTTTACGGGAAGAAATAATAATTTATAATTTTATTTATTATTTCTTTAGCAGAGAGCAGTCTCTTGGCTGAACACACGTTGCCTTTTTTATTTATGAAATGGTGCATGCATTATTAAAATAAACCTGTGACTGTGTTTTGTTTAATGATATGCAAAATTATTTGAGGTTGGGTGCAGTGTGGTTTTATTTCTCTACCTGTTGTAAGGTTGGCTGACTTTCCCACCAACTGTGGATTTATGAGAGCATTTAAAGAGCACGTATTTAATTCAGGGACCGAAAAGTCCCAGCAGATTGGAAAAATAAAAGCAGGATTGCTAGTAATGGTTTCACCTACCAGCAGTCCTTGAGTAAGGAAGGGAGAGACAGAAGCATTTAACAAGGAGGGGCTCAGGCAGTCACTTGGCTCTCCTTACTTCCCAGAGCTAATCGCAGGCGGCTCTGTGCAGGTCTGTTTTTGGCTCTAGTTCAGGCTTGTGCCCTCCATGACTCCTTGCTTCCTTCCAGACACTTAGAGCCCGAGATAATGCTCATGTTCTGTCCCTCCCTCCCTCCCCTCCTTTTCTTCCCTCCCTCCCTCCCTCCCTCCCTCCTTCCCTCCTTCCCTCCCTCTCTCTCTCTCCTCCCTCTCTCCCTTCCACGATCCAAGTAGCAAACAAGGAAAAATAACGTCAAATGCACTTGAAGTTGGCTTTTTCTTTGTTTCCAATAAAGTAGCTTACTTTTCTTTAAAGGATGATATTTGTTGTAATAGGAGAGAATATATGTTCAGTTCTTTGGATAGATGTTGTAAAAATGCTGGAGGAATTTTACTTTATTTTTTATGGCTCACAAACCCTTTTGGTTGGCAGACATTTCGGAGGGTATTCAAGCAGCAAGGGGCCAGTTGCCCGGCCCAAGTCATTTGTCCATGGGTTACATGGAATGAAGAGTCAGTGGATCAGTGCATCTGGTCCCAGTTGATTGTACACATTTTGACAATGACTGTGTCAGAATGGGAAGGATGAGATATTTGCCTGCCATTCTATGATGCAGCAGCAAATGGATTATGAAGAACAGGACTCATCTCAAAGCTCTGAAGCAAGATGGTCACCAAGTGATTTATGTGCAGGGGTGTTCTCTCGGCAAGTCTGTGGCAAAATGACTCTAGTTCCTCAAGGCTGGGAAGCTTGAGAATCCTACCAGTAAAGGTCTCTGCTTTGACCTATCAAAATGCTGTATTTATAAGTTCCTTTCTGAGATCAACTCAGGGCAACATTGGTACCTGCTGTGGATATATACTTGGGGTCCCAGGGAAGGCAAGGACAGTCCCCTTAGGTCTATCTTTCATTAATCATAGTTTTTCCTAGGGCTGACCCTGGTAAGTAGCACCTTTGGCTTTATGAGGAAAGGACATGTTTCTCAATTTTGCTACAAAAATGACGATAGTTGCAAAATGCTTTCTGGGAGAAGAAAATATGAGATATCAACTTTTCCCCTTTCTTTCTAGGAACTCAAAGTTTAAAATGTGGCTTTATGCAGTTTATTACATTTCTACAAGTTAGAAAATATTACATTTATTTTCTAACTTGAAAACCTACTGATGAAAACACGAGGCAGCTCTGTAGATCTGGCAGTGGGCTCGCACTGAGAGAAAAATAGATGATGACTCTTCTCCAGAGCTACCATTGTGATTGACCCATGGTGGGGAAAATGTTAAGGGTCGATTTTGGTTCTTAGGATGTTAAATTGTTTAAGCATACGCTTTCTCTGAGAATGTCTTCTTTCTTCTTTTGTAGGAAGCTGTAGTCATGGTGGCGTGGTGAACATCAGTGCTCCGGCTGTGGTTCAGCTCAACTGGCTAGGGTTTAATTATAAATATGGTGCTTGGGGTCGAGAATACTCTCCTCAGCATCCAGAGAGAACTCTGTACTGGGTGGCACCTCTGAATTCAGATGCGAGGGCTCTAGAAGCTTACAGACTTTATAACTCACTGGATAATTTGTTAATCTATTCACATGCTCGAGACTATAGGATTCGCTATGGCCAAGGGGGTGGTACAGTAGCATACAACAACAACCTGTATGTGAATTGGTACAATGGGAGGAACATTGCCAAAATTAACCTGACTACCAATGAAGTTACTGTGAATCGACCTCTCCCTATGGCTGCCTATAATAACCGCTTCTCATATGCTAATGTGAACTGGCAGGACATTGACTTCGATGTAGATGAGCAAGCACTGTGGGTAATTTATGCAACTGAGGCCAGTACAGGTAACATAGTGATAAGTAAACTGAATGATACCTCTCTTGAGGTGCTAGACACGTGGGTTACCAAGCAGTACAAACCATCAGTTTCTAATGTCTTCGTGGTATGTGGAGTTCTCTATGCTACCCGTACTTTGAATACCAAAACAGAAGAAATTTTTTACTACTATGATACAAACACAGGGAAGGAAGGCTATCTAGCCATCCCAATGAGAAAGATGCAGGAAAGAATTCAGAGCATTAATTATCATCCCATTGACCAAAAACTTTATGTCTACAATGATGGGTATCTTCTGAATTATAATCTTGTCTTCTCACGGGAGCCCAGGCAACCCGCCTCAATGTTAGTATAAAAGAGAAATAAAATGTTGGTTGAAAATGCCCTTCTCCATGTATTTAGACATTTTCAGGGAAATTTCGGTATGTGTTTCTTTAGGAGTGATGTTTAGTAGAGATATAGTTCTAGCACAATAGAGATCTAGGATATTTCTCTTAATTTGATTTCTCTTGGGAACCACCATTCTCTTTGGATGGATTTAACAACTGAAATAACGTCCTTCTAGGTGAAGTTCTCAGAGGTTAGGGGTACTAAGAGTCTAATGAAGTCTCTAGTGAGATGAAATCTGGAAATTAAGGAACTTAGGGGAACTCAATATGAACTCTGGGAATTCTTTCTCTAGGAAAATTTGCATAGTGATCAGTCATCCACCATCCACCATGTAGCACATTGACTTGTCCATGGGGGAAAGGAAATTGGGGATTAACTGGGTGAATAAAGGGCCAAATAGCCACCTTTGTTTTTCTTACTAGCTCTGGAACCTGCTTTGTGCATCCTGGGTTGGTAAATTTGGCAACTTAAATGGGATATGTTAGACATTTTGAGTTTTCTGGAGAAAAAAAAACTTTTACATTTGAGTTATACTGAAAATAAATCCTAGAGGGGTTGGCTTTTGTTTTCTCTCATTCTTTACATACATAACTGAATTACCTCGTAATTCAGTTTCCAAGGCAGCCATAATATTAGAAGTGAACTTAGCAACCAATTGCCTTTATCTACTGCTTATGTGTTTTTCTTAAAGATTAACTAGTTTTCTGTGAGACAGACACAAGATAAAATCAACTTTCTTTCATCTTATTATGCAATTTTGGTTTATATGACTCAAAGATTGTAAAAAAAATTCAGTTGACAGTGACAAAATGGTAGCATTTATAGTTATATAACAAAGATCTTGGAGTAAGTTGTACCACTTGTTTCATGTCATTCCTATCTATAAACTTGGAATTTGTAAGAAAGTGAATTTTTTTTCTAGAAAGGAATGTAGAAAATCTCCTTGAAGTATCTGGGTAATCAGTGCAGTGGCTGAGAGCCTGGTGGGTGCAGATGTCCCAGTTGCTTCAGATGGCTCCATCATATGGTCTTGGCTAGTTTCCATTGATGTTCAAATCCTCATTTTTAACTGCTGTATTTCAGTTTTTTAAATAAATGATTAAAGTGTGCATTGAACCAAAGACTTTTGTTTTATTTACTGTTTTTAATTTTAAGAAGACAGACAAACACCCAATTTAATGCAGTGACCACATCCTGCTATGAGGTATGGACAATGTATATCTCCCAAACATCTGCCCACATGCAAACAGAACATATCAATGACTTTTAGAGAGCCAAAAGTGGATGGGTCTTTATTGTCCATTCCCCTTCAAAACCCATTCTTTCTGGCAGCTCTTAACATCTGAGAATGCCCAATTATCTTCAGGGATATGACCTTATGAGCTTATTCATTTGCATGACTGATCAGTTATTTTCAATGCTAGACTATATTTGTGTGGCTTCTGTTCCTTTCACAATTGTGCTCCTAACATTGGATCTCAAAACCTCCAGATCCCTCTCAAATAGTTGGTGTCAGATAGAAAACAAAGGGACTAAGAGGATTCATTAGAAAGAGAAACCTTTACCAAGAGAACAGTAACCCAAGTGGACGGATAGAGAAACAAGACTATTTATTCTTACCAAATTCTCATTTTAAATACATGCCAAGCTATTTTAAGCAATCAGAAGCTATACTATTTGGTATTTTTAGCAAGATTTTCTCCCCTACCTGTTCAGGGCTCAGCATAGAGACAGGTATGGCCTTCAAATTGCAACAGGATATGAAGATAAAGATGCACATGCTATCTGAAATACAGGTTAAAAACAGTGACATTATATTTAATCTGGCTTAAGGCAATTTTCCAGATGAGTGTTTCTATTAAGTACACAGAATGACCTCTGAAAATTCTGGAAAGGAGGCAGGAAGCCAAGGTAACCCTAGCAATCAACTTCTCATTCAAACTGCTACAGAAGTGTTTGCCTGAAAATTCCCTTCAGACCCTCCTTCCTGCTGGCCATGGCATGTCAGCTTGCAATGGCTGCCTGCAGAAAAATCTCTCTGCAGGGAAAGCTGAATGATGGAGGGGTTTGGACTCAGGGGTTTATGCAGTACCGTTATACAATAGAAAAATGTGGTTCACGATTTATCAACTCTTGTCTGTTTGAGACACACACACACACACACACACACACACACACACACACACACACACACACACATGACCTTTGAAAAATTTTTTACATGTCCTTGTGTATGCAGATGCTTGCACACATGTAGATGAGCACGCATGTACATGTGGAGGCTAGAAGTCTTTGGGTGTTGTTGATCAGGAGCTGTCTGTCCACTTTGTTGTTTGAGACAGGGTCTCCCACTGTGCTGGGGCTTGCGCTAGGCTGGCTGGCCAGGGAGCCCCATGGATCTTCCTGCCTCTGCCTCTACAGTTTTGGGGTTATGAGTGTGCCCCACCACACTTACCTTTGTACATGAGTGCTAGGAATCTAACTGAGGTCCTTATGCTTGCATGGCAAGTACTTATTGATTAAGCTGTCATTTCAGCTTCCTCTATGCCTACATACTTAAGTAGGGGTTACTGATGTATAATTTATATGTGTAAAATGTGCCTGGTTTTGATGTATAATTCAATGGATTTTGACAAATGGATAGTAATGTGATGTCTACCATAATTAGGAAAGAAAACATTTCTTTCATACCTTAACAATGTGTCTCAAGCCCTTTTACAGTCAATACATTTCAGCATCCACACCACTAATTGGTGTGTTAGTTGTACACATTAGTTTTATTTTTTTTCTAGGTCATTGAGATGGAAGAACACAGTAGCCCTTTGAGTCTGGCTTCTTCAATTTTCAGTTTGGGGATAACTAGTGGATCTAAATTATGCTAGGGCTTTATCAGAGCTCTTAAGGCTTCTTTCATTTTCCATTATTTTTCTTGGGGTGGCTTAGAGTCCTGTGGGGTCCCTACATGTATCCTACTGGCTTGGAGCAGCCATGAAGAGGAGTGGTTCTAGCTCTCACCAGTACCTCCAAAGCATGAACATTCCCTTGTTCCCAGACGTGCAGAGGCTTGTCCTCAACTCTCTCTGCTGTGCATTGAGCATCTTTTACTCAAGTGAGATTTGATGCTAATTCATGACACATGGGGTGCCTCTGAGTGCATGTCATACAAAGCTGACTTGATTCATGAACTGATTATTAACGGTATGATTGTAGGCAGGTGCCTTTGACCTTACTGAGTCTCAATGTCATTTTCTATATGCTCATTCTGTATGACCACCCAGATCAGAGTCCTTTTGGGTAAATTAAATGATGCTAAGCACATAAACTCTCCGGTTTGTGCTCTGCCCTTCACAAACAGTTACTTCTGTTTCTTACTTTAGATTTTTAGCTTTAGAGAAGTCATTGTGTTGACAGGGTAAAAAGGTAACTGCGACTGGTGGTTACATTTCTATTCATGATAGCTGCTGCATTTTCTCTCTGAGCAGGTACATTTTGGTCTGGAAGAGTTACAAAGAACATTCTCACTTTGTCCTTGCATACAAGATTGGTCCCTAGACTTGATACGTCCTGTGCTTTGACTGGAAAAGACAGACAAGAGCAGCAGAAACCCAGCCCATTGCCTTTTTTTTTTTTTAATTTTATTTAGCTGAAGGCTGGCTCCATTATGCTCTGTGGGTATATTTAAAACAGATGCATATGTTCTCTACTTGTTTAGCTCTAGTCGACTGGGATATCAGTCTTCAGACCAGGGATGGGTATTATTTTGCATGTCACTTTTAGTTAAGTTTAGCTACCTTTACGGATTTGTTAAGTTACTAACCATGATGGTGGGCCTTTTCTTTTTAAGTTGTGAACCACTCTGAAAAGGGAAAGCCCCATAAAAGAGGCACAGGGAACAGTGGGGTGCTACCTTCAGGATGACATAGTTAGGATTTGGGTCTGAGCCCATCATCTCAAACAGATGTCATATCATGAAGAGTGATTAGCCTCCTGTGTTCCTGAATATTCCATAACAACAAAAGGGTGGATTGCAACACACCAGAAACTAAAATAAAAGCACAATTCTGAGGCATAGTCCCAACCAGTAAAACATACCAGCTGGCCTGGCTCATGGGTAAAGCATACTATTTAAGTTGTTAGCTCATGGCCAGGCCCCATAGTAGTAGCATGTGATGTGTCCATTTGTCTCTAAAATTCGCATCTGTTTCTGGAGCTCATTCACAGGGAACTACCCTTGAAATCAAGGGCCATGGTGGAGAAAGATGGCCTTCAGTCAGCCAAAAGAAGATATTTTTCATAGGGTATCTCCCCAGGATTTCTCAGAGCCAGGATTACCATTATAAGGATGATTTTGCAAACCTTAACTCCCATGTGAATTACTAATGGAAGACCTGTGTGACTGAAGACTTTGAGGTGGCTTGGATCTCAGTGGATGTGAAGGTAACTGAGGATGAGATGAAATGATGTCTAGATCAAGGTTCACAGGCTGACAAAGGAATTAGATTCCTATGCTTCCAGTTACTATGAAGGAAATATTGTGACTCCAAGTCTCGATTTTTTCTTTCTTTCTTTCCTTCCTTCCTTCCTTCCTTCCTTCCTTCCTTCCTTCCTTCCTTCCTTCCTTCCTTCCTTCCTCTTTCTTCTTTCTTTGTGCTTGGGGTACTTGGATTGAACTTAGGGCCTCACATAGACTGGGAAGCAGGTGCTTTACAATTGAGCTATATCCCCAACCTTCAATAATGTTTTTACATAGGTATTAAAAGTGACTTACTGTAATTTTCACCTTAGTGGCTATTATCAGATAAGTTTCATGGTAAGGATGGAAACAGCTTCTTTAACTGGGGTTCCACTACCTCTAATAATCAAACCTGATTAATTTAGTGGTGCTATGACCAAATCCCTGGCAAGACAGTTTAAGGGAGAAAAAGTTAATTTTGGTTCATGGTTTGAGAAGACATAGTCTAATATGACAGCAATGGCCTGGGAGTGGCTCTGTGGTACCAGAGGTGTCTTACCACTGTTAGCTTGCATCTCTCCAGGTCAAGAAGCAGAGAGAGGTCTTTAGAAAATGGGGACCAGCTGTAACTCCTGTTCTAATATGGTTTCTGTTGTTTCAATAAACACCAGGAAAAAAAACAACTTGGGCTTATTTTGGTTTACAGGAGATAGGCCGTATTCAAAAGGAAGCCAAGGCAGAAATGCAAGACGGGAGCTTGAGGTAGAAACCGTGGAGGATTATGGGCATGCTCTCAGTCTAATGCTAGGCTAGCTTTCTAATGTATCCCAGGCCTCACTAAGTAGGGATGTTGATGCCCATGATGGATAGGGCCCCTCATACATGTACTCAGTCTTAGTCCAGGGGGTAGGGGCTTGGCCCTGCCTCAAATGGGCCAGGCTTTGTTGACTCCCCATGGGGGCCCTTACCTGTGAAGAGAAGTGGATGGGGGTAGGCTTGGGGGGGGTAGGGGGGTGGAGGGGAGAACTGTGATTGGAATGTAAAATAAATAAATAAATAAAAAGAAGAAAATGCCCTACAGATATGACATGAGCCAATTTGGTGGAGGCAATCTCCGATTCCCTCTGCAAACTGTGGACCGTGTCAATTTGAAAGCTGAAGCTAACTAGGAGAACCCCTAAGGCCTGCCCCTAGTGACCCACTTTCTGTACTATGCCCCACATGCTAAAGGTTTCATAACCTTCCAATAGAGTGCCAGTATCTGGAGACTAAATATTCAAATGGGTGAGCCTGTAGGGAACATTTTACATTCAAACCACAACAAATGGCCTGGCACAGCAACATGCTTTTTCTCCTTCAGTTCTGTGGCACTGATTTCACTAGTTTATCCTCATTAGTATTTCTTTTAATTTCTTTTAACGGTCTTATCCCAAGACTGTTTCTTCTCTCCTTCATGTCCCAATTGTGTATTTTTCTGGTGCCACCAGGACTTTCTTTCTTCCAAAATGATTCTCTCTTAAGCAGCTACTCCAGGACTCAGGCTTGTTACAGCTAGCGCCTAAGGTCACTGTGACTGTCCATACAAGGCAGCTAGACAGGAG